TTTCTGTTGCGCAGGTAAAGCGGGAACAGAAGCATTTCTTGACTCGATTTTTCTCGCTTCGTAATTCATTTTCGTGTTTTGTTTTTTCGGTGCTGTTAAGGTTATGTGTTCTTGTTTATTGGATTTTGTGATGCTGACCTTTTTTTGAATGAGTGCATGTAATTGTGGTAATTTGTAAAGAAGTATGTAAAGGACGAGAGTGGGAGGCGGAGAGCGAGATGGAGAGAGAGAGAGAGAGAGAGAGAGAGAGAGAGAGAGAGAGAGAGAGAGAAGAAAGAGAGAAAGATAGAGAGAGAAAGAAAGAGAAAGAAAAAGAGAGAGAGACAGAAAGAGAAAGAGAGAAAGAGAGAGAGAGAGAGAATAAGACAGACAGATAGACAAACAAACAGACAGACCAGGTAGACAGCCGTAAGTATATAGACGCGTTTAATTCTTACGACAACTGTTGCCTCAGCCTTTCCGCCCCCCCCCCTTCCCACTAGTCCCTACCACGTGCCTTGCCTTCTAAGAAAAACAATACCTTTTGAACTCTGGTCTTGTCCGTCTCTGAGCCATTGAATAACGAGCGTGTAAGTGTGATCACGTGGTCACGCTCATGACCTCAGAGCCCCAGGGTCAGTCTCGGGGTGTTGGCGGCGAGCGGAGGCGGAGGCCTTAATTCTTTGACACGATGAAAGAGGTTTACTTTGTGCGGCTAGATTTATATTTTGAATCAGTAAGCTCTCTCGCCCTCTGTTGCATTTGTAAATCTATATTTGATATTTTGTTGTTGCTGCTGTTGTTGCTTTTGTTGTTGCAGCTGCTGCTGCTGTTGTTTTGTTATTGTGATTTTCGCTGCGTGAGTATTAATGCCGATATGCAAAGACACGAATTACTGATCTACCCGCGCAGAATGTGAGTGTTTTTATAGCATGAGATCATTTCGCTTTTTATAGCACTTTCCCTGAAACAAGAGAGCAAATTTATGGTTCCAGAAAGGCACGGTTTATGAGAGGGAGACAATTACCCGCAGGAATCGCTGGCAGTTATCGTCCGTATATTCACGCTGAGGATAGACTTTTATTATATGATCTGTGTTATCTTTTAGGATTACTCACACACACACACACACACACACACACACACACACACACACACACACACACACACACACACACACACACACACACAGACACACATACACACACACATACACACACAAACGCACGCACATATATATGTATGTGTGTGTGAGTGAGTGAGTGTATGTGTGTGTCAATGAATATGTACTGGCCCTTAGGCGTGGATATAGATGGTTGTAAGTATCCTTCCTTGTGTAAACACCTTCAGATTATCTCACTCAGTTATTTTAAAGTTCCACCTTATTGACCTTCAAGAACAGACTGCATCCAGAACAGATTGACTCCAGTAAATAATTTCTTAGGGATGTGATTGAGATGAGCAATCAGTTCCCATTTCCCCTGATACACTTATAACTCGGTATAATTCGGTCCTACATTTCCTAGTAGAAAGTTCTTTAGAATGAATGAATAAATGGTTGGTTCCTGTTATGCTGAAAGATCCTTCGTAATGACATTTGTCCAGCCGGATTCGTCCCTTTATTGCGGCCATAAACGCATTGGTTCCTGACCCCCGTCCCTCTTCCCCCTCGCTCCTTCCCCTCCTTCGTCCTCCCCCTTCTTCCTCCCCCTCCCTCTCCTCCTTTATCTATTTCCCCCTCCCCCCCTTGCCTCTTCCTTCTTCCCCGTCTCCCCTTCCCTCATCTCCCTCCCCTCCCTTCTCCTTCCCCCTCTCCTCTCCCCTACCTCCAGTTTGCGCCTTCCCCCTTATTCCTTCTTCGTCTCCCCTCCTCCTTCTCCCTCCTCATCCCCCCCCCCAACCTACAGCTTCCCCTCCCCCACCCCCTCCCCTTAATGACACCAGCGAGGCGTGACAATGTCCAGTTCGGTTCACATGACACTTTCTCTCTCTAATGTTCACCTTCTCCTCCTTCTCCTTTGATCTTTCAAGGGTTATTTTCACTCCCCTCTTCCTTCTCTTCCCTCTTCCTTCTCTTCCCTCTTCCTTCTCTCCTCCTTTATCGATTTAACCCGATGTCGATCTCCGTACGAAATCTGATCCTCCGAAATCTTATGTTTACGAAAGTCCTCGCTCCTATCTGGGAAGAGATCTTGGCTTCGGTCGTAAAAACATGGCGAAAAACCACATGTGACCTAGCTTTACCGGGCTGGTTCTTGACCTTCTCGGCTTAGGTCAGCTACGTGTGTCCCCTCTCTCTCTCTATCTATCTATCTATCTATCTACCTATCTAGCTATCTATTTGTCTGTCTATCTATCTATCTGTCTGTCCGTCTACTTCTCTCTCCCTCTGTCTATCTATCTCTATCTATCTATCTATCTATCTATCTGTCTGTCTATCTCACTCTATACCTCTCTCTCTCCCTCTCTCTCTCTATCTCTCCCTCTCTCTTCCTTTCTTTCTCTCTCTCTCTCTCTCTCTCTCTCTCTCTCTACACACACACACACACACACACACACACACACACACACACACACACACACACACACACACATATATATATATATATATATATATATATATATATATATATATATATATATATATACATATATATGAATGTATATCTACATATACATTATCTGCCGCCTCCTTAATAGTACTGATCTATTTGATTATTCAGTAATTTATGTGTCAATCTACATTTTTATGATTGTCCACTTATCTACCCTTGTATCTAATATCAATCAGTTAATCTGTCTATCTGCCTCTCTACATTTCTATTCATCTACCCATATATTGATCCATCTTTCTTTCTATCTACCCTCCTGCCTAACTACGTACTCATTGTTCCAGATTTTTTTCTTTTTTTGACGTCAGGCATTTCCCGTTGACGTCTGATGCAATTGCAGTTCCAGAAAAAAAATTCTGCTCTTGGTTCGAATAACTGATTAATGTAAATATCGGTTATTGAAGTAGTATTATTTACGTTGTGGAAAAAAAGGGATTTGTAAAGTTATTCATTCTCATTCCTACATAAATCTACCTTTATCACACTGGTCCCTGCGTTGCGTCGTGGAAGCGGTACGGATTCTGAAAGTATTTTAGGTACAATTAAGCCCTCTTTCTTTCTCTTTTTCTTCTTCTTCTACTTTACTTTTTTCTTATTATTTTTTTGAGTCGAGTGAAATGGGCTCAGCGGTCGATAATGATCCCGAGTCACGACCAGCGAATTGGTTTTGTCTCCTCTAATTGCAGGCGATGGTCACGAACTCCGCCGTTTCGTTTGATAGTCTTTCGTTTTTCTTTTGTTTCTTTTTTTCTTTCTTTCTTTTTCTACCTTATCTTGGCCTCCCGTCATTTGGTGTTGTTGTTGCTGTTGCTTACATTTAAGTTAAACTGTCTTCCCATCATTTATTTTATATCTTATTTATTTACTTTAATTCTTATTTTTGTTTACCTTATCCACTTTTTTTTTCCTTTTTTTTATTTTAACCTCCCTCACCCCCGCCCCCTCCCAATATGTGTTTTTCTTTTTCTTTTATTTTTCCTTTTTTTTAAACCTTATCTTGGCCTCCCATCGTTAGAGGTGTTAAAGCCGCCATTTTAACTTCCACTAATCCTGTGATATTTCGTTTCGCAATAGGTCGTTCGTGTAGGATTAATCGACTTTTTGCTTTTGATGATTTTTTCAGTTCTTTTTTTTTCATGGGGGGGGGGTTGGAACTGGTTTCGAAAGATGATAAGAAAGGCATCTGTGGCATGGCTAATGGTTAGGTGCATTCATTCAGATTTTTTTTTTTTTTTTTTTTTTGGGGGGGGGGCGGTATTGGTTTATACTCAAGGAAGAAAAACTATGGAAATATATGTATGTATTCATAGTCGCTGATGATGATGGTGATGATCATGGTCTTGATAGTAATGAGGATGATGATAGTAGTAAGAATGTTAATAATAATACTAAAATAATAGTAGTAATAATGATAATAAAATAATAGTAATAATAAAGATAATTTTTATGAATAGTAATAATAATGATAATGACAATAATAATAATAATAATAATAATAAGAATAAGAATAATAATAATAATAGTAATAATAATAATAATAATAACAGTAATAATAATGAAAACAGTAATAACAATGATTATGCTGAAATAATGATGATGATGATAATGATAATAATAATAATAATAATGATAATAATAATAATAATAATAACAACAATAATAATAATAATGATAATCATAATAACAATAATAACAATATTGATAATGATAATAAAATACTAATCCTATACATTGCAAAGGAATAAGAACAAAAAATATAAACACACCCAAACCGTCTTCATCCAACCATCTCTACTTACAAACAATCAGTTCTCCTTAATTTAACCACTCCCCCTTCCCTAACTCCCGCCCCTGACACTGACGTAGTATCCGCGGGCGTCCCTTCACTGTAGCAATCACTCAATTCTTTTATCAAAATTGGCTTCGTGTGTGCAGTGGAGCGTGAGGCCCCGGATGCTTAGCGGAGGCACGAAGTTCGCTTTATCTTTTGGGGTTCGATAAATGGGTTTGGTTTTGCCTGAGGGAGACAGGGAGGGTACTCAGGGCGGGGGAAGCGGGAAGATGGCCTGTAGGGCTCTTGGAAATTAGTGATGGACGGGTATGTATATGTATATATATGTATGTATGTGTGTGAGAGAGTACATGTGTGCAGGATGGCTTTTTTTTTTTCTTTTTTTTCTCTAGCTACGGAATCATTAATTGCTGGTAATGCAGCAAGCTCATTTGATTTCGGTGATGCAAAAATAAAACCTTTTTAAACTGTATGTTTAATAAATAATATTTCAGATCAAGTATAAAATCAGCAATTCAGTCCACGGACTTGCTTGCCGTGAGGTAGTCGGAGATCGTCTGACGCGAGAGAAGAGTCGGAGAATGCAGGAAATTCTGACCAATTACGCAAAGTAGCTT